CGGCTGGATGCGTCGGGTTTAGACGAGTTTGAGAATTAACGCCAAATAAGCAGATCACCCGTGCAAAGCCGTACATTGTAGGCAAAATGTGCCATGTACAGGGTGTCAAGCCCATCCCATGCGCACCCCCCTCCAGGTCCAACATAAATTGACCGGGAAACGGGCCATACCAGTCTCTTGAACAGCGGCCTTCAGTGCAACCCGGCACTATTAGACGGGCGAAAAATTGGCATCGGTTCAATATATATATATATATATATATATATATATATATATATATATATATACATATATATTCCCCACAAATCAACGAACTTCCCAGCGTCGCAACAAAAAGTGTGAGTGATTTATGGATGATTACAACACCTTACTGTCTTGTAACGCATCATATGGGTGAGACTTCTGCATTTTATCTTGGTGGGTGATAATCTTGGTAGGTGATCACGATAACAGGACCTGATTAAACTGGTATTCGCCTTGACACGCGATGCAGTGCGCCGTCATACCCGATGTGGCCCGTGTGTACAATTGCTATTTGAAGTTCAAGGGCCAACTTTTTCGACAGATGCCACCACATTTTGGAATTGTATTGAATTACCGATCAAGCTGGGGAGCTCTCGTAATTCAGCGCAATTACCGAAATGTATTCCTGCAGCCAGGGGTACATTTGCGCAAATTCCGTTCGGTGCCTCTGATGCATGTTTGTCAGCGTAGGATAGCTCAAACGCTGTTTTGTCCCAGGATGCGGCCGAGTTAATTATTCCTTTAGAGCAAATTGACACGATATTTCATTATTTTTGTTGAACCCCGCAATTTTGAATTTTTCATAAGCTGGTGTCCAACCATGTAATGAATTTCTGTCAAGTTCGACAGGCTGTCGCACAAGATGGGGGGGGGGGGGGATGGAAGGGGGTCATGGCAGTTGACAGCTGTGCCATTCTCATCGGAAGCGCTCATTATTTATACAGCGAAGGCGCGTAAGCCACGCGACACTGGCGGCCAAGGACGGACTCAGCGCAATGTGCGCTCCATTATAGCACGTAATCCACCAAAGAGCCGCGCTGGCGAAGCTAACAGCTAGGATGCATTGTAAGGCCGGCGGGAAGGCAGGCTAACTGTACTGTCGGAGACTGAAACTGTCGGAAATTCCGACGTCGTGGCCTTCATCATCATTTCATCGTCATCCCATTCCGATGTCGTAGCCTTCCACCTGAACCGATGCCCGAGAACATCAGAACCATCTTTGTGAAGCATTGAACCGAATATCACAATCGGGTACTGCTACACTCAGATTTGGTGCCCTTCTCGTCACAGTACATCGGATCTTGCCCCCCCCCCCCCTCACACCCACACCCATATACACTCCGCTGGGGCCTCAGCCTGTGTCGCAGCACATCGCTACTGCGCGGAATAGCCCATATCCAGGCGGTAGGAGACCGCTCGGTGCCTGCGTAAGCTGACAGGTGAGAGAGGCGCTGCTGACTGATGACAACCCTGGGCTGATCAATACGCCACCCATCATGTTCTCATCAATAGGCGGTGACAAAACATGTTACACGTCTCGGCATGCTCCGCTACTGGACGGACCTATATGTAATGACCCTGAACCCTACATGGTTATTCGGGATGTTAGAGACATATGGCACTTCAGAGTGGAAGGGTATGAAAGGGTATTCAGCATTAATCGGCAAACTAGCAGTGGCATTTACCACGGATCATATTGACTGAATAAGCAACAAGGTCATTGAACGACAGCAAATTAGATGCGTGAACAAAATCTATCGGACCTCGACTTGGAGCCCATGGTTCTAAATAGTACACGACCAGCGCCTTGGACATGCTTCCGCAGATAAGCGGTGTTGGCAACCACTCGGGAATACGGACGTGTCTGTTATATTTCTAGCTGGTAAAGGTAGACTTGCTTACCCACTTGCGCAATGCCTTTTAGGGAGTGTGGCTGCGTTGGAGGTTGGATTAGATTAGAAGACGAGTAGGTGGTGGTGGTTGTGACGTAGCAGAGCTGAACGCAAACGCCAAACAGCGGCTTAACAGGGTCAAGCAACGCAAGCGGCGAATTCTGCAGTACATGCTTTCCAACCTGGCATACTCTGTATATCCACTGAGCTGTATGGGGAAGTGCGTGGTTTGTTCATGAATGACATATGCCATCAAAAGATTCGTGAAACCAGACCAGCAATTTGTGGCTTCTTCAGTGCTTTATGTATAACCGTAGTCCTTTGACTGTGTATGATGGCCCCGGGTATATGCTTAGTCTCGTGTTTCATTTTTGTATCGCCGACATCTTTAGCTTTCGAATGGGTTTGTGAGGCCCATAGTCCGACGGAGCTAAGAAAAGTGCCGGTCGACTAGAGTTACATCGTCACCTAAACATAAGCATCCTTAAATGCATAATAGCACATGCTCTTGACTGGACTGGGATTTCACCAGCGATTACGCTTGCACCGGCGAGACAGGCACTGCTGGCGGGACGCGTCCAACCGTCGACTGGCGTTTGGCTACGCCTAGCATGAAGTCTCACCTTTTATGCATTATTCTGATTTGCTGGATCTGTGTTTGCGGCATTTTCCTCTTCTTTACTGAACGCCAGAACAAATATATCGCTATTACAGCATCATAATCTGTTTGAAGATGCGCTTAGTGTTACCGTGTCGGGAGCGTGACAGGGGCGCCGGTGGGTCTCCATTTACTGTATATTATCGTCTTGTAAATCCACGGAGTGCTGAAGGGAAATGCTCCGCATTTTAAGATACCAAAGCAGGCATCAGACATGGTGAAATAAGCTCACTTCTATTAGCATATTTTTAGGTGAAGGAGACTGTTCTAGACAACACAATACCTCTTTTTAGTAAATATGCCTCTCAACACGTCGTTTTTTGATTACGCTATCGTACCTTGCAAAGCATTGATCAACACGCGCCCGGATGGCCGGCTAGATGCCCTTCGCTCGGGTGGAGGGATCAATTTGACCCCGCCCCCACAATTTGAGATCTCGGGAACTAAGAAAGCTAGAGACACCAAATTTTCGGGGTGTCTTAACCTATACGTGAAATCACTTAAGGCAAAGTTCATGCTTTCCAAGTCATGACCTTCATGTCAAATAAGGTGAAGTAAGGTCAAATTACAGGTTGGTCTCTTAAGTGTCCCCAGAGCCCAGGCAACTGTCTCTGAGCAAAAGGTCATAATCACATTTGAGGTCAGTGACCTTGTTTGACCTTTTGAAGGTCATGGCGACCAAAATCATGCAAGACTACCCTGAGTTTTACATTCAAATGAGTGACAAAGATTACTCTAGGCAGCATGTTCTTTAAACAAAATGTCTACCCAGGTCACCTTAGGTCAATGACCTCCCTGACCTCTAAGAAGTCAACGGAAAATGTATAATACGGTTCCTGCTGTCAACAAACTTAAAATGAGCACCATAAGCTATCCCATACCGCAAGTCCTAGCATAATAAATCAGGTTGGCTTTGACCTTGATCTGACCTTCATACTTGACCTTAGGTCAACGTCGTTTGCTCATTCAATCCTTGTGGTGCCTAAGAAAGTATCTCAGACATGTATGGCTTCGTCAAACACTACGTTATTGTATCAGATTGGACGACTCCCTAGAAATTGCCTTCGCTGAAATCATGGCCTGACTTTGACCTGCCATAGGTCAGCAACCTTACAAGGTACATCTAAATTTTTATGTCAAACGCTTTGCTATGTAATTGCCTGCAGCTATGCAAAATTTGGCGCGGCTACGCCGCGCCGTTCGGGGACCATTCTGGAAAAACCTTGGGGGTCAAATTAACCCCCCACCCGAGCGCGTGTTAAGAGACGATTGACGGCTATCATAACTGGATATCATGTTCACGAACGCCAAATATGAACAACTCGACAAATATATTGTTTGGCCTTGATCGCTGCATGGCCAATATACTTGCAGGATTTGGATGGCGTTCTTCTGACGCCATGGATGCTTGGGTGACCTTAGAATAATCTGGACGAAAAAATTCACGCATCTCCGCGGGCGCGCACCTCAGAAACTAGAGGAGCTTAGGTTATAAGAAGGGTAGGGCCGTGAACCACAACGAGTGGTCCTCGAGATGGCCATTGCAGTTCAAACCGGCATGCAAATACAGGACACACTCTATAAATGGGAAGGCGTTTCACTGAATTCTTAAGAAGACTGACTTTTAGGCAGTCGTTACCATACAGGAAAGTTCAACTTAAAAGTTTAATTGAAGAAAAGAAAAGTCGTAAAAAAGTAAAGTAAAAGAGTAAAAAAAGACCGCTGTACGCGCCTACAGTTCACTCTTAGCCAGATCAGCAGTTCCAGCTTCATCTCGTCGCGCTCGTGAGCTACACCATTCGAATCTGATATCTACCAACCATCACGCCGTTCTCTTCCATCCTCTGGTCCTTTCTCTCAGTTAGTCAGCCTCAAATGCCCTCAAGACCTAGGCTCTTGTAAATGGCATCTGTCCCTATACGGCATGAATTGGAAATTAATATTTAACAGTACGCATTGGGGTATACCTGTTTTACACCTGCACTACTCCATTGCCCTTTCCTAACTGTTAGAGGTCCAGTCAGATTTCAGGGGCGGGTGGTTTCGGTATTCAGGAAAGACGCTGATAGGTATTTATATATGGCTAATATCATGATTAATAACCTTTTGGTGCATAACGCATCAAAGGGATATTAATGTTGAGTCGCCCGGCCCAGAAAACAATTGCCTCAGCAGTGTGCGGTACATATGCATTCGCTATCCGCTGAGTCCTCAACTAAAGTTGTGCTGCCGGGTACAACACGTCTCAGCTATTGGGTTTTAGGGTGTGTCAGTTTTATTGGTCATCTACACCGGGACACATGCCACTGTCCATGTTAGTCAACCAGATGCACACCCAACATACCCTTCATCGCTGCCAGGTTGCGTAGTAAAAAACAATGACATCGCGGCGAACAAACCCTGCGCCCGGTTCTGACCGCGGGGGTATGGAGGTAAAGCCTCATCACACCCTCCGGTGTTGGCTGCGCCTTTGCAACAGCGCATCGTAAATCTTACTTTCATGTGGACCATGATCAGCTTATGCATCAGGACTCTTCCACGACTGTTCGCAATCACCCTTTGCCTGCAGCTTGCAGCTGGTGCCCTGGAAGTAAGAGCTGTAATGTAGAATATGATGTGTATGGCATGGTCTTTGCAAGTGTGCTTGTTTCGTTGGTGAGACGATACTGCCCTTGTGCGTGATTCCGCCTCGGCAACATAGCGAGCTTGCCGTAAATGCCTGACTTGTAGGCTATTACAGGCGATTACAAAATATTTCGTGATCGAGGCACGTTGCCGAAACGACCGTCGTCATGTCAATGCGGTCCGGTTCTGATGGGGCCTAGCATGATAACTACCGATACCGTTGCTGATAACACCGTGACTCCCATGGCAGTCGTGATATTCGTACCTACCGCCTGCGGCGTGACCCATCCGCAACGCTTAGGCTGATTCTGCTCTCTTTCCAAGGACCCGCCGTTCACCTATCAGACGCCCGATGACAGTGGCAACATGATCAGCAACGGGTACGGCATAGACGTGCTGAGGGTGCTGGCCAGGCAGGTGGGCTTCAAGTGAGTTTTCCATACCCATCAAAACCTAAGGCATGCTGCGCTGTTATATGCATGCAGTATGCCTCTTGGGGTTTAGCTGTAAGTGTCTCACACCCAACTGTGACTTGCAACTCACTGTCCTGTGCGGTTGGCTTCAGCTGTGGCGCCCCGCAAAACGCTGTGATCTGTCGCAAGGGCGGATCCAAGAGACAAACGGGCCACGGTCTCTCCCGACGGTGCGCAAAACAGCACGATTTCCTCCATTCCTGCTTGATTTAGTGCAAATAACAACTTCGGACCTTGATCCTCAAACGAATTTTGTTCCTTTCTTTGTTACCTCCATTAAACCGTGCAACCCCTCATCGTATTCTCCCCGTTGATCTCTAGCTTCTAACTGGCAGGCGGCTCTAGCTGCGAGTCTCCCTACACCTCGTGCAGAACTGAGGTACACTGTACCCTTCTGACAGGCGGCTCTAGCTGCGAGTCTCCCCACACCTCGTGCAGAACTGAGGCACGCTGTACCCTACTGACAGGCGGCTCCAGCTGCGAGTCTCCCCACACCTCGTGCAGACCTGAGATACACTGTACCCTACTGACAGGCGGCTCTAGCTGCGAGTCTCCCCACAGCTCGTGCAGACCTGAGATACACTGTACCCTACTGACAGGCGGCTCTAGCTGCGAGTCTCCCCACACCTCGTGCAGACCTGAGGTACACTGTACTGTGAGATGTCTGGTAGTCAGTTCTCACTGTCAACTTCTGAGTGTTCTTGTGCGTCCGATTTTGGCCAGCTTTAGTATACGATGCGGAGAGACGGCCAGCAGCAGTGCAGCGCCCCACAGTCGGACACACAAGTGGAAGGGTGCGGAAAGGAAGGGTGGCGTGCTTCATGCGATGAAACAAAACCCTTGATGGTGGGAATTGGCAGCCGGTAGTACAATGCGCCATTGTTCGTCGTAGTAGGATACTCTGAAACTATTGACGTGCCGGTCCATAACGCATGAGAACACACGCTACTGGGGCCGTGACGTGGTCAGCACGCCGCACAGTCTGACAGAGTGTTCGTGCGTCCGACACCGTGGAGTTGGATTAGCGCCAAACGCGTCAAATCCACCCGGCCAGAGGGAAGAGACTCTACGAAGGTGACCGAGTCGTAGCTCTGCCTGTCATGGTGGACATCACCAGGCTATTTGGCTACCAGGCTGCGGTGAAGTCATTACGGTGCGGGCAGCTCGGACGACTGGGTTAGTGCCCAAGCATAAGCCCAAATGCGTGCTCAGCGATTCTGGTTCCAGCGCTTTATGTATAATTGATGTAAGCAAATCGATATGAACGCTCTTGTAATCAGACAACGTTTCGATAAATCCTTGATGGTGGGAATTAACGGCGGGTGGTTGAAGGCAGCATTGTATGGCCTTGTGGCATGTTGGAAGACTGGTAACTGTCTATGAATGGATGACAACTGGCGGGGGCACGGACCACAACAAACACCAAAGCCAACATTCGCTTTTTTTGGTGGTAGTCGGGCCATACTGTACTAGCAATGAAAGCGCAGTTACTCGCAAGACTCGAAAATGACCATCAATGTTTTAAGCAATTCATTCAACTTCGACATGCCATCCCGGCAACCGCAGGCAAACTTATTAGCTACCTGACGGCGTATTGTTTGGTCAGACGGGGGTCCGTTTGAGTAAGCTGACCGGCAGTCCCCAGCTGAAGGAGCACATCTGCATCTATGACCTGCCCTACGACCTGACCTATCTGATGCGTATGGGTCGGATACAGGCTTCATAACGCGGCCTTGACCAATAGGTCACATTTTTCTGCTGGACTGTATGCTGATAGGTTCCAGCACAGGACTGGGAGACACTTCTTTGCGTTGACGTTTTTGTCACACTCTTTGCCAGGCAGAGAGCTTGGCAGAAAACCTGGGCTCTTTCCCGGCAGGTCTTTGTGGGCGTCACAGCTGTAACGTATTTTGCGGAGATCTGTTGGAGACGTGGACCTGCGTTCATGACCAGCTTACTGTACATCTTTTTTTGGAAAGACAGTGTGCCCAGACCTGAACTTACCTGGCTGTCATGGTCCATTAGCAGGGCTGTTCTGTACCCTGACCTGTTTCTCACACCCACTGAGGCGAGAGGCGTGCGCCACTGATCTGAGCTGGCCAACAGGGTGCACCTGCAGTGGCTAGAGGGGGCGCAGTTTGGCCGTCAGCTGCCGAACGGCTCGTGGACGGGCATGATCAAGCGGCTGCAGGAAGGTGACGCCGACGTGGCGCTCTCCTGGCTCACCATCACCCCGGAGCGGCTGCAGGCCATCGAGTTCGCCGACTCTGTGCCCATCCGCACCTACTGGAACGGTCTGTTCGTGCGCCAGACAGCCAGCTTCCAGACAGAGAGCATGCTGGGCGCGCTGACCAAGCCGCTGGGCCTGGACGTGTGGGTAGCGCTGCTGGCCACTCTGCTGATCGTCTCGCTGGTTCTGTGGGTGGTGTTACGCGCCGCGCGCCACGAGCCGCTCGAGAGCCAGCGCGACTACAGTCCCGGCGCCTGCTTGCTCTCCATCTACGGCGGCTTCATGATGCAGGGCTACGTGCGCACGCCCACCTCGGCCGCCGGCCGCATCGTGGTCATCAGCCACTGGGCCATGTGCATCATTGTGTACGCCACGTACACAGCGCAGCTGGCCTCCTTTCTCACGGCCACGGACAAGACGCCGCTGCTGAGCTCCGTCATGCAGGTCAGTCGACGCTCGGAGCGGCCGTGTGGGGCAGGACACGCCGAACGGGGTGTCTCGTGTGCGGTCCAGCTCTGATCAGTGCCTATGCGGATCAGCCGAGCCCTGAGAAGTTGGAAGTAACGTTGCACCCATCGTTAAAACTCAGTGTTGTTTTGATCGAGTTCATTTTTCAGCTTTACTCGATGCATATCAGGCTCCTCTCAGCTCAGACCGGCACGAAGGGTCGTTCGCACACTAAAGCACTATGCGCCCCGGTCATACCCCGGCTCCCGCCCTCGGCGGCGCGCAGTCTCTGCAGCTGGAGGCCGCGCCGACGACGCACCGTAACCTGGACGGTCGTCCCCGCCGCAGGTGGCCACCCACACGCAGTACCCGCTGCTGGTGGACGAGACGTCGGCCGACGTTTCGGCCATGCGCGTGAGCCCCGACCCCGGCTACCGCGCGCTGTACTCGCGCGTCACGAACGGCGACAACGTGATGGACGTGTCGGCGGTGGTGCGCCGCGGTCGCGACGTCGTCTCCGACACGGCCGTGCTCTACATCGATTACGACCGGCTCGTCTACTACCTGCGCGAGCGCTCCTGCTTCTACGAGCCCGTGGTCGAGGTCGTCTACAAGCACAGCCCGGCATACCTGGGTCTGCGGCGCGGCCTGCCGCAGCGCGACGGCATTAACGCCGCGCTGCGCAAGATGACCGAGTCGGGTCTGCTGCAGCGGCTGTGGAAGAAACACTTCCACAGCAGCTTCATGTGCGCGCAGCCGCAGGTGGCGCCGTCGCTAGGCGCCGACCAGCTGCAAGCTATCCTGCTGGTGGTGCCGGCCGGCACCGCCGCCGCCCTGCTCTGGGTGCTGGCCGAGTGCACGTGGCGCCGCTGCCGGCCGGCCGCCGCCGTCCGTCCGACAGATGACGGCGACGTCTGGCACCAGTACATCGACCGCGGCGCCAAGGCCGTGAAGGGCCGCCGTCGCGCCGCCTGGGCGCGGGCGCTGGCGGACATCGACTAACGCGGTCTCAAGCTGGCAGAGCCGCAGAGGAAGGGAGCACGCGTGTGCACCGGCAACACGGAGAGACACCCGATCATAAGACGGCTCCTAGCGCACAGGGCTTACCGGCTGCACCCATCGTACGGGGCGGGGTCCTCTGTCTGCACGGAGAGACTGAACGTCAGGGCCTCCACGCTCTGCGCGCCACGGACAGGAAGGCCTCAGTCTTATAGGACGCTCGAGCACCGCTCACCACCGGATGGACGGCGTCTGTACAAGTCTACAGACAGCACGCACTGACGGCACACTTCTTCAGAGTCATGGATCAATGAAGAACGTCATAGAGCACAGAACGCACGCTAAGGGACGGCTGTGGGTGTGGTCTTGGCCATAGCCAGTGCCTGGGAGATAGGAGTTGTAGCGTGCTCCCAGAAGCTCCGTTACTTATCCCCTGTCGAAAGCAACGATATTGCTTTTCAACGTCCCCCCCCCCCACAACCGGTTTGGCCCGTCACCAGTCGTCTCATACTGGTGACCTCTGGGCCAACGCCGGCACCGTTGGTCGGCAAGAATTAAAAACGGTAGAGAGTGATTTTGAGAGAACGTTAAAACTATTTTTACTGCCTAATCCGCCATCCTTGCGGCCATTAGTGCCCTGGCGACAGGCAGTGCACGAGTCTGATATTGAGATAGCCTGTGATAGTACACAATTGTTAGTACCAATAGCAACAACAGCGAACACTGAACAGCTGTCATAGACTTCGCAAATACACGATTACGAGTTTAGTTTCGCTGAATGTCAGCCATCCGGTCGGCGGATGGCAAAAGTGAGTGATGTGAGCGTGCACACCAGCGCTCTGAACGCATTGATATTGACACCGGACTGCCTGCTTCGCAGAATCAGGTACACAGCACGCTTGGTCGCTCTGGTCGAGCGGAATGAACGAGCAGCGATCCCGGCTGTAGCTATGTAGAGCGCTTCATGGATTAAACTTTCAGGATCCAGCTCAATCCATCGGCCAGCCTTGAATCTCATCTGGCCTAGAACGACCCGCTTGACGATTGCCAAATGCAGTCCAGTCTAATCCATCAAAGCAAAACTATTTTGCGCAATTACATTTGCAGTCAAATTTAGCGTTAAATTCCAAATGCCGCGGGGATTTTTTTATTCAGCGGCACTTAGCTTGTCCCTCAGCTCGTCAGTCCATTCCGATTCATTTGCACCTAGAAATTGACTCAGTCCAGCCGTACTGCATGTGTTCGAAAACTGTCCGATGACGACTGGCCTAATCCAGGGATGAATGCGATCTGCGACGGGCTCCAGCAGCGACATTTGACTGGAAGCAGGTAATGCTACCAGACTGGGAGCTGGCAGCGGTCTCCTGTCGGTGATTCTGAGCTGCTCGCGGTCGATATGCGCCGCTGTGATGGTACTGACTAAACAGCCTTCAGGCGGGCTTCTGATACCGGCCTCGATCGGGACGTTGGGGCCGGCGGCGCCCGGCGCCAAGTTCAGGGCGGCTGGCTCACGCGCGCTCGCGCTGTCATCAGTTTGTGCCGCGGCCAGCCGCCGCGGTACAACGCCAGCTCGTGTGGCTGACGGCAGCACCGAAATACGACACTATTTGCTTTCATTATGGTCGTGGCTGTCTCCGAACACGAGGTGTCCGTGGGAAGATGGCAGGTGCTCACATTGATTACCATCGAAAGCTTGGGTGGTATGGAATTGGCATGAAACACCGCACGGACCCAACGCGTGGCTGCGTTCAAGCCAATCCAGTTTTGGAGTCATGACAACAGCACCACCAGGGTCTTTAACACGTAGGTCACGGCTAGGTCACGGCCTTCGGGTTAAATAAGGTGAAGCAATTTAAAACTCAAGACGGTACCCAAAGTGCCCCAGACGTCATCATGTAACCGCCTAGAACCTGTCCAAAGCAAAAGGCCACTGATGATCATTTTAAATCAGTGGCCTTGTTTGATCTTAATAAGATCATCGTGACCAAAAACCTGTCAGATCGTTTTCCATTTTATATTATTGAGTTAGATGTTAAGGATTACGTTAAGTAGTTTGTTCTTCAAAACAAATTAGTGGCCTTGTTTGATCTTGATAAGATCATCGTGACCAAAAACCTGCAAGATCGTTTTCCATTTTATAGTGTTAAGTTTAACATTAAGGACTACGTTAAGTAGTTTGTTCTTCAAAACAAAGGGATGAACTTAATCATTTAGGTCAGTGACCAACTCTGCCCTTTAAGAGGTCGATGCCAGATGTCCGCTGCCATCTCTGCTATAAAACATCGAAATGAGCATCATAAGTTACATCAAATCAAATTACACCTGAGTGAGCAGGTTGTTTCAGGGCGGAGTATCCGAATTTGGGATGGGGGTAAATACTTAACACGCGCTCAGGTGGGGGTCAAATTGACACCCCGAAGGTTTTTCCAGAATGGTCTCCGAACGGCGCGGCGCAGCCGTACCAAACTTTGGATGGCTGTAAACAATTGATTAGCAGATTGTTTGGTCTTAATAATTTAGATGTGTTTTGTAAGGTCATTGACCTACGGCAGGTCAAAGTCAGGCCATGGATTCTGCGAAGCCAATGCCAAGGGAATCGTTCAATCTGATGCAAAAAAAAAAAAACAACAACGGAATGTTGGACGAGACCACACATCTCTGAGATACTTTTTTAGACAACGTAACAACTAAATGAGCAAAGTCCATGGACCTGAGATCAGTTTTAAAGGTCAGACCAAGGTCAAATTTCATGTGTTTTATTACCCAAGGGCTTGCTGTATGGGGTAGTTTCTGGTGCTCATTTCGAGTTAATCGATAACAGAAACGACATTATACATTTTTCATGAACTTGTCAAAGGTCAGAATAAGTTACTGACCTAAAATGACCCAGGTCAACAGTTTATTTTTAGGAACATGCTGCCTAGCGTAATCGTCGTCGCTGATTCCAATCCAAAACTCAGGGCAGTCCCGTATGATTTTGGTTACCATGACCTTCGAAAGGTCAAACAAGGTCACTGACCTTTAAAGATCATGTTAACTTTTGCTTAGAACAAGCATCTAAGTTCTGGGAACATTTTGAGACCAGCATGGATATTGACCTTGTTTGACCTTACTTGACCAAAAGGTCATGACCTGGGAACCTCAAACTTTGATCTAAGTGAGTTCAGATACAGGCTAACACACCCTGTAAATTTGGCGTCTCTAGCTCCCTTATTTTGTTAGATCTCGGCGAGGTGAAATTGATCCTCCACTCGAGCGAAAGGTACCCAACCGTCCACCGGGCGCGTGTTAACTAAGGGCCCCTAAACCGATGGGCCCCTATATTTCAGGGCGGGCGCACAGCCAAAACCTTGAAAAGGGAGGGGCATAGGGTTTATTATAAGCCCCCTGATATAAAAGGTCCCCAAAACTAAAATACACGGAATGTGGCCCATTTGTTCATGAGGGCATGCTTTTTAATATCTTTCTCATTTTTACCTTCTGGATCTGGAATAGAAGCCAAAAGCTACCGCAAGATCACTTCTGTTTGATCTTTATGTTCAATGAACTGAAGAAATCATGCGTTAATCGAATGTATGAAATAAACCACCGGAATTCTTCGTGCTACAATGATTCAGTGGTCTTTTAAAGCTGATAAAACTCAGAAGCCGTGTCAGAATGTTATCTGGGCTGTAAATATCAAGGACCCTGCGAATGCAGGTCGAAATGGACTAGCAATTTGTGTTGACATGGCCAAGCCACATTTGCCTGAAAATGTCAACATTCGGTCAGAGTGGATGTGATGCAAACCATTTAACGCAGTTTTGAGCATGCGCACTCGCGAATCTTGGCAACAAAACCTCCATGCTAGGCGTTACGGTCTCCGTAGGCCGCGTAGCGTTGGCGCTGCGGATAACATCAAGCTGTGGCCAACGAGTGGACGAAAATAATGACACATTTGACGGAAGTACCTTTGAAGGCATTAGGACTTTAAATCGTACATTTATAAGGCAGCTGGGGTATATCTCACCCGTGCGATTTCTAGGTTGGTGAATTGAATAGGTTGGCCTTTACAGCACCACGCAGTGGTGCTGGAATCGGCTGGTTTGGTTCTTGGTTGTTTGGATTAGAGCCCTTTCGGCCGTAATTGATCATTTCAGGGCCATGAGATGACGAAAAATGATTGACAGTGGGCCAGACTTGCATGTGCCTGAGGAGAGGCAACCGCCGAGCTCTATTCCGCGCATGCGCGCTGGGTACCCGCTCGGGGTCCCCTTTCCACGAGGCTCTCGGCCCACTCGTGGCTGACACATGCAGCCTGCCCCAAGGAGCTGGGTGTCGCAAGGATGAAGGATGAAGCAAGATAGAGGATAGGAGGAGCGGATGTGAATCTGGTGGTAGAACTGGAGAAGTAAAGACAGAATCTGTGCTTTTCGTGTTGATGTGGCTGTTAATTTGTCCAGAGGACAATCTCAAACTGATGAGAAAGATACGTCCAGCCTTACCCTTGAATGGTGCGAATTAATTTTCTAAGACATTGGGAAGCATTATTCCACTGAGGTTGCTCTCACGCGCACGGCATCCGTCGCCTGGTGGTACAGAGGCCAATGTCGCTCGGTTTTTAAGTAAACTGCAACCCAGGCTATCGCTGTCCTCCCTCCCGACATTGCGGGTGCGCAGGCGCGCGGGGAGAGGCCTGTGCCCCTTCCTTGCCAAAAAGACAGACCTTTTGATAATTTGTTTCACTAGTCGATTCCGCAAAAGAACAAACGTTCCCAGACGAACATGAAATGGCCTCGTTCGTTTTTTTTCTCAAAAATACATTTCAACCCACTGTTTACAACACTAATGAGGCCCCTTATTTCCGGGAATGGGCCCCACTTGAATATAACACTAGGGGCACATTATCGTTTCCGGCGAAATGCTGAACGGCCACTCCGTTCACCGCGGGGCGTCTTTCGGCGGCCACCCCGGCAACACGGGGCGGGATCCCCTGGCCGAACCGGAGGCCCTCAGAGGGATAC